TTAGAATTACAAAATGCCAAAATTGAAAAGGCCAGGACAGGTGAATTTAGTCAAAGTCTCTATCTTACAGGTAAGGAAATAAAGCCTGGAGGTGGTGAATAAATGCTCAAAATCTGCATTGGAAAAGAGCAGCAGTGAAGCCAGACTCAAGACCCCTGGTTCCCAAGTCAATGAGCTTTCCTGTCTACTCCAGTGCTAAACACACTGGACACTGTGGCTCGACAGGGCTTAGGAAAGGTCTGGGAACCCGTAACTGGCACACGAGTTCCCCGCGATTCTTAAGGTCAGGCAAGTACAGGGCACACAGCTTCACCTCCCAGAGCCTCCTTAACCCGAGGTGCGGCCGCTCAGCTGTCAGTTTCTGTTAGTACATTTAGGGACCTTCCAGGGATTAGCGGAGGGTGGAGGCCATATTCCCACACCAACATCCTCCCTGCTATGTGGCATGTTTCAATGAAAGCAAATCTTGTGCCAGTTTCACCAGAAATACAAACATTCATCAGCAGGGAGGCAAAAAAAAAACCTCCACCTGCTCTTAAAAGTACAGTGAAGTCGCCTGTCTTTAGAACTCTCACAAGCGCCTCGCATAGAAGGTTCATTCTGAGGAAGAAGCAAATACATTCTGACATCAGGACAGTCAACCCTCTGGTTGGGTCAAGGGACGGTTTCATGTGAGGTAGAACAATGCAGCTCACACACTACCCAGAAGGTAGTAAGGCTACAGTCAGTGTCTGCCTGACAGACTCATGCCTTGTTTATGCGAAGTGTGTCCCTACAACCTGTCTGCCAAGCAGCTGTCTTGAACACTAGTCATCTCACCTATAAAAATTGCTCGCATTCTCCCAAGGTCATCGTGTACAGGTGCATGGGCTGAGAATCATATCCACTCTATAGGAGCACCATTGACACACACGAGCATGTGAATGGTGCCCCCTATAGTTGTGCAATAAAATAACCCTCCCTGAACTTGGAACACTTCCAGAATCTAGGGGGGAAATCTGCTTTTCTGGCACAATAAGAAAAAAAGAGCCAGCAAGTCATCTTTTCTCCTATTCTGTTTCAACAATTACATTTCATATTCACCCACGAAGTACTTTTACGGTGAAGTGGAAGAGTTCTGCCTAGCTCTCAGAAGACTCAGTGTCTGTCTTACGTATGCCTCTTCCTGGTCCCAGAATTTCCATTTCTTTGTCTGTAATGTGGACAGAATACAGCCTGGCCTTACTACCTTACAAGGTTTTTGAGTCAAATAATGAATATGAAAAATATGTTTTCAGTCATAAAAGCACTACATAAATATTGTGTTATTATTAATTATCAAAAGGAACAAGTGACCCAGGGCTGAAAAATCAAACAGGGCTGTCAGGCTGGGTGTCTACTGATTTCTCCACAGTAAAGCCTGCTTTGATGGTCTCCAGCCATAGAAACATCAATGCGAGAGAGATACATTCACGGCTGCCTCCTACCTGCCCCCTACTGGGGATCGAGCCCACAACCCGGGCCTGTGCCCTGACCGGGAATCGAACCTGGACCTCTCAGTCCATGGGACAATGTCAATCCATTGAGCCACACTGGCCAGGCAGCTGTCATTATTTTCAATGGGAACTTATTGTGTCAACAAAATTAATGAAGTTTGACTCTTACAGAAAGAAGAGTTAAGCACAAAACTTTAAAAAGGCAGAAAGTTTATTTTTCCTTTGTTTTTAAAGTACTTGTCTTGTCCGGCTGGTGTGGCTCAGTAGCTGAACGTCGACCCATACACTAAGAGGTCGCTGGTTCGATTCCAGGTCAGGGCACATGCCCAGGATGTGGGCCCGATCCCCAGTGGGGGGCATGCAGGAGGCGGCCAATGTCCTCTCTTATGGATATTTCTATCTCTCCCTCTCACTTCCTCTATCTCTAAAATCAATAAAGAAAAAAAAACATTGTTTAAAGTACTTGTCTTGCTCACTTAGATTTGCAGCAGTCAGCATAGTAATCCTTCCTGAAAATTTTTGTAGTTATTCTTCCTGACACTGAGCACCAAGAAACAATGTATCAGCTCCATTCAAATATCTATTGAGATATCCCATTCCAGGCACTGTTAAGTTTTGGAAAAACAAAGACGCAGCCGTCACTGACCTCAAGGAACTTGCAATCTAGCAGAGAGGAGCAAACGTGAATACACAATTTTCATCCACACTGGTAAAAGCAGTGATGGAGGAACATACCTGATGTCCATGCTGGATGCCGTGGGAGCATTCCCTCCAACCTGGGGGTTCAGGGAAAGCATTAAGGGAAGCTTGATGGATGAGCAGGAGAAAAACAGTAATGTGCATTCTCCCCAGTTTATGACAAAAATTATTTTCAGTGACTTCCTACCCATGAGGTTTTGAGGAATGGCAAACTTGGTGAAATACTTCTTAGAATCACTGAGACCAGCAGGACTGGCCCATAGGACTAAAGCGCTAGTTCTGTATTACAAAGATGAAGTCCATGGGTTTTTAAAATAGCTCACACCCTTTATTATTGGTAGAAACCCTCAAGTAATGAAACATGCAGTCTCCCTCTGCACTTGGCTTCTGTAAGCTACTCAGTTTTGTTACTTGCTCCTTGGGAGACTCATTTAAAAGTTTATCTGACAAGAAGGGGTGAAATGAAGTCATAGTTATCCTTGGGACTGTTTATTAAATATATTTGAACTTTGTTTCAGATACAAAGCAGTGGGACAGCAGGTGAGCCGCTCTCATCACACAAGCTGGGGCAAATCACCTCAGCTCTTTCAGACTTGATTTCCTCTCTTGTCAAGAGCTCATGAAATATACACCTGAAACTAACACAAGATAATAGTGCATGTAAACTGTAACTGACAAATAAAATATTTTTAAAAGGAGTTCATGAAATAGATGGCCTTTACAGAGAACTCCAAATCTAAAAGTCTACATGTCCCTTCTAATGAAGTATGTTATTCTGAAGACCTGCCTACAAAGGTACCAAAATGACTTCAAAACGTAGCTTGTATAAGAACAGGGTTTGATGCATCTTTTTAAAAGAATCCTAACAGAAGCTCAATGAAATGAACACATAGGTGTTTCACAGCTCTCCAGCATATAAAAAAGTGTGTGAAGGTGAAAAACCACAAAAATGACGTCTTTATAGTTCAACTTTCTTCTCTGTATGTGCGCTCTACTCTCAGACATAATTACATTCAATAAAAGCCTTCTTCCTCGATCATAAAAAAAAAAAATTGATGAGCCAGGTTTTCTGGTACAAAATCAAAGTCATTTAAGATTCAAAAGATTTTAAAATTTGTGAAAAGTTTTCAAACAAGTTATTGCAGTCCCTTAGGACAACCTTAGTTAATTTAGGGGATTTGTGGGATTTGGGCTATGGGTGCATATGTACACAGAGAGAAATATGTGGTATGTTTAAATGTACAACAAAGGTAGCAAATGAAGGAGTTTGTGACCTTCAGGGAGTTTTTTCTTGTTTCTTGAGGCCCACAACAGATCAGTTTATCTAGCTGATCTGCCTCATCACATCATTCCTCAAGGGTGAAATTCTCCTTCACCCACACAGACTCTACACAGAAAACGGATAGAAGCAGCTAGTGATTACCGAGATGACCGTGACATTCCACTAGGACAGTCTATCCTGATGCATGGGATCATTATTCACATTAAGCAGAAATATTCTTTTTATGTCCAACAACTTGATGAGACCACTTTGATTTCCCTGCCCCCCTGACTTTCTTTTTTTTTTTTGGTCGGAGTTGGGGGAAGGAAGACTCTCCCAGACTGGGAACTGTCCACAACTCGTAAGTGTTGACAGTACAGTCAAAGAGATGACCTGTAAAATGTAAAACCATCCCACAATAACTTCACAACTTGAAGAAAGATGTATTCCAGCAAGTACTCTCACTGTATTTAAGGACTGTAAACATGAACTTTTCTGGTTATAAGGTAGTTTTCGCAGAGCTGTTTTTCCAGCAGGGAAAAGCATGGCAAACCAGCTCTCTGAGATTACGTATGAAGTGGTTCTAAGAGAGACAGTTTTATTTCCTCCAGAGCTGCTAAAATCTCCAAGTGGGTTACACCAGCATCTCCCCTCCCACCCCGGGATCCATCAACCAGCTTCAATGTACTCTTTACATTTAGGATTATGATCAAGTCCACGTACTAAAAGGGGAGAAACCACACAAACATCACACTGAAAGTTTCTCTGCCAGCAGGAAATTCCAGTTACTCCATTCACTGGAGATAGTTAAGCTGCTGAAATGAAATGGGCGTTTGGAGAGATCACCCTGTCAAGACCTGGACTTGATTTTCAGGGTAGGAGGAGGTCAGACAAAGATGAATGGGATTCGGAGTCTGAGCTCCAGGTCAAGGCCCTCTGAATAACAAAGACATGGTAGGTCAGAAGGAGAGGGAGACAAAAATTAGCACCAAAAAAGAAAAGCCTGAAGTAAAAGTCTGCATTCTTATGTTGGTAGGTGAGACCACCGGTATGTGGTGGCCAGAGAGGAGACAAGCAGCCCCAACGCTCAGTGAGATCCCCAGAGACTTTTACAAACATCCTCTTGAAGTCTCAAGAACTGTAATCCTTATAAGTATCGTACACCTGGCTTCTGGAACAGACTACCTTCCGCTGACCCTTTGCTCAGGACCTTGGCTGCTGCTCTGTCCACAGAGCCCAGGGTCTCCTCTTGGTCTCCCACACGGAGACAAGTACAGGACAGTGGGACAGGGCCAGCCCAATTCCCACCCTCCGCGCCCACTCCATCGAGGCGGCCAACAACCTCCCGGAACCCGAAAGTCGGAGAGTGCCGCACGTGCCTGCCACCTGCACCGCCGCCGCCTCGGGGCAGGCAGGAGTCCCCCCAGGAGAGCCGACAGTCGCGGGGCTCCGGGGCTCGGCGCCGCAGCCCGAGAGCCGGCCCGGGGCCGCCAGGGGGCGGGAGGGAGCAGCTGTCCGGGCACCTCCCCGCCTCGTTCCCCTCCCCCGACCCGCCCGCCACTCACGGATTTTCACTCGGCGGTGGTCGAGGCGCGCGGCGGCGGTGTGCAGGGCGTCGAGGCGGCGGTGCAGCGCGGCGGTGCGGTGGCCCAGCGAGGCCGCCTGGCCCTCGAGCTCCCCGAAGATGTCCCCAGCGCAGCGCGACAAGTCGGCGAGCTGCTCCAGCAGGCAAACCAGGGCGTGCGAGCTGACCTGCTCCAGCGAGCGGAAGAGCGGCGCGCCCGCGGCCCCGGCCCCGGCCCGGTGCAGCCGCGCGGGCTCCACGGCCCTCTGGTGGAAGGGCATGGCCGGGGGCGGGCGGCACGGGCTCGCGGCGCCGCGGGCCGCCCGGGGCCAGCAAAGCCCTTAAACCGGCCCCCGTCGGCGCGGGGCGCGAGTCCGCATCCAACACAAAGAAAAGTCCCGGGCAGCGGCGGGGCGCCGAGGGGAAGCCGGTGGCGGCTGCCCGCGGAGAGAGGCAGGCGGTCGGGAAGGACGGACCGACGGACGCGCGGGCGGGCGGGCGGACAACGAGGCAGGGGAGCCCCGGCAGCTCGGGAAGCCGCGGGCAGAGCTCCGTGGGTCCGAGCAGGGCTGCCTGGCGCTCGGCGGCGTCTCTCCACCCGCCGGGGTGCCCGGGCCGCGCCGCGAGAGGAAGTTCCCGGAGCAGCTCCCGGGCGGGGGGCGCGGTGGCCGCGGCGGCGAGTGGAGACGCGAGTCCCGCTGAAGTTTGCAGGGAGGCAGGAAAGAGCCGGCGGCTCCTTCCCTCCCTCCCGATTGGAGAGGGAGGAGGAAGCGGGGGAAGTGCCGCCAACACCGGGCGAGAGGGAGGGGAGGCGAAAGAAAGGAAAGGGGGAGGAGAAAAGGGCCGGCCCGAGGAACCACCTGCGGCTCCCGCGGCCGCCGCGCCCTGCGCCAGCGCCAGCGGGGAGGTGGCGGCCCCGCGCCCTGCACGGCCGCGCAGTCCCGGGGCTCCCCCGTCGCCGCCCCGCTCCCCTCCAAAGCCCACCGGCCGTCGGGCCGAGTCCTCGTTCGTCCCCCGAGCCCAGAGCGGGGAGGGGTTGGGCGCAGTGTGGGCGTCCCCGAGGCGGAGGAGCCGGGACAGCCCTGGCGAGCCCGCTGGGCCGCTCACCTGCGCTCTTGCCCTCGGGGACTCGTGAGTCAGGTGCGCCCCGCCCCACGGGAAACGCCCGGGAGCCTCAGTGGGTCCACCTTCTCTCTCCCCAGTACTACTCGGGAAAGCGGCCAAGGCTTCTGGGCGCTTAGGTGGACCTAAAAGAGGACATGAGATCGTCCAGTAGCCAAGGGTTCTGTAGCGGACTAGGAGTCCTCCCAATGGGAAAAACCTTTTGGGGGCTTGTAAGGGGCGGAGGGGTGGAGTTCAAGAGACTTTTCTTAACAAACTGGCCCCCTCCTCCTCCAACTGGAATGGCCTCCTCTGAATTGTGCCAAATATGTTATCCCTCTTCCCCAAAGCATGTGAGAGGGATGGGGGGAGTGGAACCCCAACCTAGAACCCTGAATTTCGTGCCTGGAAGACGGTTAAGCTGAATGCTGTTGAGATCGTGGTCAAACCTCTGGTTAGAAATGTTTGCGGAGACGGAGTCCAATATCCTGAAGCTGAAGCCCCAATGGCCTTTTTGCTGTTTGCTCAGGAAAGGAATCACGGCTTCTTTGCCTTCTGCCCCCAAGTGACCCAAACTGCTGCACTGTTGGGTGCAGTGTGGGAATCTGGTGTCCCAGATCAGCTATGTTGATTGCATTATAAAGTGGATTCCCTCTCCAAGAAAGACACCGGAAATGCAAGACAACCAGGCCTGAGAGGGCATCGCCACACAAAACCTAGTAGACAAACGTTTTTTGGTCTTTCCCCTGTTGTACAGTTGATCATTGTTCAGGACATGGGCGAATATGGTCTCATAGTCACTCTGACCACCTTCAGGGTTGTTATGAGGCACAAAGGAGCTGCTGCTATCCATGAAAAAAGATGCTGTGAAATTTATGAAGCACTGTATGAACATCAGGTACAGTATAAAAGTGTGCTGTTCCCTCAAAAAATATTTGTTGAGCGCCTGTGTGAGGCACTGGCTGGAGATGCTGCAAAGCTGTCTGGCTCCATCCCTGCCATCACTGAGGCTCCCAGTCCAGTGGACCATGGAACGCACCTATATTCATATGCCATACATTTCACCTGTGTAAAGGGTACATTTGCATTTTTTTAGTACTGTATATTCAGAGTGTTATGTAAACATCACCGTAATCAATTTTAGAGCTAATTTTAATCCCATCCCCTCCCCCCCCCAAAAAAAACCCTCACAATTCTCTTTAGTACTCACTCATCTTTGTTTGTTTGTTTCTATGTATCTGACTCTTCTGGATATTTCATATAAAGGAAATCATACAGTATGTGCCCTTTTGGGTCTGCCTTCTTTCACTTAGCATAAGGTTCATCCTTGTACCATATATCAGTACTTCAATCCCTTTTTATGGCTGATTAATACTCCATTGTATGGATATACCACATTTGTTCACCCATTGATGGACATTTGAGTTTCAATTTTTTGGCTAATATGAATACTGCTGCTATGAATGTTCTTGTCCACGTCTCCATATGGACATGAGTTGTCATTTCTCTTGAATTACTGCATTATATCATAACTTTTTTAGGAACTGCCAGACTTCCAAAACAGCTGCACTGTTTTACATTCCCACCAGCAATGTATGACAGTTGCAATTTCACCTTATCCTCACCAATACCTGTTGGTATCTGTCTTTTTTACTCTAGCTATCCTAATGGTCATACAGTGGTATCTCATTTTGGTTTTGATTTACATTTCTCTGATAGTAATGAGTTTAAACATCATTTCATGTGCTTACTAGCCATTTGTTTATCTTCTTTGGAATAAGATCACATACATTTGAAGAAATGTGTGTTCAGATCTTTAGCCCATTTTTAAAATTCAATTATTGTCTTTTTATTTTTAAGTTGTAATAGGTCTTTATATATTCTACATACATGTCCTTTATCATGTATAACATTTACTTACTAATTGTGCCAGCAGTTTGCTGTGGTTGCACATTGTTCTTTAGTTTATTCATCCCTTGACACTGTCTTCTTGATCTGAAAAGAAATATGGTTTAACCACATAAATTAATACAGTATAAAGGGAGCATGGAATTTTTGTAAATTTATAATCCTGGGGGCAAAATGAATAGAATTTTTTGATAAAATGATTTCACTGCTTCAGAAGCTGAACTTAAACTCTCTATGTAACCAGAACATTGAATAAACAGGATTCATGGAGGGAGTGTACCCATAAAAGCAACTTAATTTTTGTTGCCCACTGTCCCTTTAAGAACCTGTGCAATGAGTTGTTCTTCCTCTTCTACTGAATGGCAACTCAAGCAGTCCCATAATTATTTTGCTCTCTCTCCAGTAATAGAAAACCCTACTGTTACTTTAAGAGATAAGATGTGCTCTCAATTCAGTACTGATGCTCCTCACCTTACGATGGGGTTACATCCCGATAAACCTATTGTAAATTGAAAATATCCTAAGTTGAGCCAGTTGAGCCCAGCCAGTGTGGGTCAGTGGATTGAGCATTGCCCCATGGTCTGAGGTCCCAGTTTGATTCCTGGTCAGGGCCCGTGCCCAGGTTGCAGGCTGGATTCCCAGTAGAGGGCGTGCAGGAGGAAGCCAAATCGATGTTTCTATCTCTCCCTCTTTATAAATTCAATAAAAACACGTTTAAAATATATATAAGTTTAAAATGCATGTAATACTACACTGTAGAATCTCAGTAGCTTACCCTCCTGATCGCTGACTGGAAACTATGGCCCGCTGGCACTGCCCAGCATCGAGTCTCCTACAGCATATTGCTAGCCCAGGAAAAGATAAAAATTCAAAGCGTGGTTTCTATTGAACATGTATCACTTTTGAATCATTGTAAAGTCAGAAAATTCTAAGTAGGGGACTGTCTGTAATTAAAACCTTGCCTCCTTTCCCGCAGGCTGGGACTTTCTGTGGTTAGAAGTCAGGGCAAAGGGCTTGGTCCTCCTCCATCTCACCCTCCCCCACCAGCCTACTAACCATAGTGTGGGGCGGGAGGGGTGCAGACAGCAGCCATGTGTGTACTGGACTGATGCTCGAACCAATGACATCACATTCCCTGGGCCTGGGGATGTTTGAAGCTGCCTCTTTCATAAACACATTCGTGGGCCCTTACTGGAAATGTTTGACCATACCTCCTAAGACACAAGCGATGAATCCTAACTGCTTACACTACCTCAATCTTGGTTTTCCTTCTGCTTGCTCCATACGGATTCTTGCTGTTGGGATCCTATCAAGCCTCTAGGTGAAACCTTTTAGGCAGAATCCCCTTGAAAATGAACAGGGCTGGCTTTCCTACTGGAGACTTCACATGTGGTCTCTGAGAGCCACATACCTTTTTTTTTTTTTTTAATCCTCACCTGAGGACATTTTACCATTTTTTGTACAGATAGAGTGGGAGGGAGAGAGAGGAAGAGAGAGAGAGAGAGAAAAACATCGACGTGAAAGGGACACCGAGTGGCTGCCACTCGCACGACCAACCAGGGCCGGGGACAAACTGCAACCGAAGTACGTGCCCTTAGCGGGAACCGAACCCGGGTCTCTCCGGACCACAGGCTGACGCTCTAACTGCTGAGCCAAACCGGCCAGGGCGAGCCACACACCTTTTTAAAGCTCGTGGCTGAAAGGTAGAGCGATGTCCTCCCAGGCATGGCCCTCTACTCCGCTGCCACAGGTCGCATCACCTTCCTGACGTGAGAGTCTGGCACCTGTCCACTCTCCGTCCGCCAGAGGCATACATCAAGCTCTCTGAGGGCCTGGGAAGGTCCTTCTCACTTGGCTGGACGTCAGCTGCCAGGGCCCCAGCCCATTCTAGAATGAGGTCAGGTCTCCCACTCCTATCTAAAAATCCTCCTCCCAAAACTCTCCTGACAGTCACCTGACTCTTGTACCCTCTGTAGAAATGAGCATCTAACCAGTCCTCAAACATTGGAAATTCTCACATCGCAGTCTTCACCACAACTCATATTGGTACCTGATATCTGTCATTTCTTGAGGCATCACTCACAACTTTCCATTTAATATCCTGAAAAATAATATACAAAACAGAACCAGACAGCCCAGGCCGTTTTGGTTCAGCGGTTAGAGCGTCGGCCTCCAGTCCAGAGAGACCCAGGTTCGGGTCCCACTAAGGGCACGTACCTTGGCTGCAGTTTGTCCCCGGCACTGGTTGGGTCGTGCAGGTGGCAGCCACTCGATGTGTCCCTTTACGTCGATGTTTCTCTCTCTCTCTCTCCCTCCCACTCTATCTGAACAAAAAAATGGAAAAATGTCCTCGGGTGAGGATTTAAAAAAAAAAAAAAAAAAAAAACCAGAACCAAACATTATACCAACTTATTCCAAGAAAAATTAAGAAAAAAAATTTTTTTTCTTTATTGATTTCAAGGAGAGAGGAAGGGAGAGGGAGATAGAAACATCAATGAGAGAGAACATCGACTGGCCGCCTCCTGCATGCCCCCCACTGGGGATCGGGCCCACAACCTGGGCATGTGCCCTGACCAGGAATCAAACCAGTGTCCTCTTGGTTGACACTCAATCACTGAGCCACACCAGCTGGGCTCCAAAAAGAATTTATAATGTCACCTACTAAGTTAAGGGATATGGAAAAAGAAACCAGTTTGGAAGAACACAGGTTTGGTGTGACACGCAGTTAGGAGCATCTTTGGGGCAGGTGAAAATCTGGGAAGGAATTCCAGTGAGGACTGGAAGCCATAGATGTGATACTTACAGCCATGAGAACAGGTGTCCTAAGAGCTAATAGATGAGTATTTGGATGAGCAGAGGGCTAAGGCCCAGGTGAGGGGAAGCCCCCAGCCAGGGGGCAAGAGGAGAAAAAAGGAGCATTGAAGGAGGAGGAATCTAAGCGGTGACTTTCATCAGTCCCAAGGTTGGAGAGGCTTGAGACAGAGAAAGCAGCGAATAGAGGCCCCGGGAGGCGAGGTGGGAAAGGGTTACTGGCAACCTTCAAAAGAGCACTTGTACTATGACAGGGGGCAGAAGCCAGATTTTGGTGATGAATACAGAGGATAGAACTGGAACATTCATAGAGAAAACTTCCATGCAAAGTTCAAAAACCAGTTAGAAGAAGTAATATTATTTAAAAAAAATTTTTTTTTCTCAAGATAGTGCTTGAAAACCAGGTGTGGCTAAGACTGCCTACCCTATTGGGCCATCCTCCCTTTTTCTACTGACAGAACTTAACTTGTTTACCGGTATGTCCATCCTCTTGAGATAAGTCATCATCCATCTATCCCATTCTGTTTTGACAGAGATGGGTCAAGTGTGACCCAGTTCTAAACCAATGAAATTGTAAGGGGAAGCAGGAGGCTTCTGAGAAATAGTCACCACCCTGAGGAGAGGAGAAAGGAAGGAGAAAGGCTCTTGCATTCTCTTCACTCGGGCCAGACCCTGCCACCTGCCCTCAGGTGCACTGAGGTGAAGACGGTATGTCTGCAGCTGCTCCAGGATCTTGAGACCAAGAAGGGCAGACCTGGAAAATCCAAGCACCATGCAAAGGACGAACTTACTCCAGAAGGATGACTCCATGTACTTACAGTGTAATTCCAAAGGTCTGAAGGCCAGGAACATTAGCATCACCGGGGAGCTTGTCAGACATGCAGAACCTCAGCCTCCACTGCCTCCCCATGGTGGGTGGGTGGGGGGTGGGCTTCTGCCCCCACTGTCATAGCAGGGGGGCCATGAATAAGGATGTGCCCTCCCCAGCTGACGCATTTGTACTCTCAGTTTGAGAAGCACTAGTTCAAACTCCTGTTTGTTGGGCTTTTCTATCACTTACAGTTAAATATACAGGGATTTATGAGGAGAAGTAGTAGGCGACCAAGGGACTGAAGATTCTGGAGGGAACTGAATGAAAATGGAAAGACGAGACGAAGAAGACAAGTGAAGTCAGCAGCTGGCCTGGGTCTGGGAAACAAAGCAGGACTCATCTGCCTGGAGCGGACGTGGGAGGAGAATGGTGGGGAGTGTCCTAGTGACTCAACAAGTGGTGAGAAAAGAACTCATGAATGAGGGTTCAGGAAGTGGGACGACTTGGGAAGGAGGGAGCTACATGTCCATGGATCTAACATCCTGCACCCTAAAAGCCCTAGAACACAGACAGCAGATGGTTGCTGGTTAACACAGAGGACACGTCCGGGGGAGGGGGACAAGGGGGGCAAGATCACCATCCAAGGGCTGAGTATGGAGTCTGAGGTGGAAAGAAAGTGACGGGCAGAAGAGTCCAGGCCTGGGTCCAGTGGGGGAATGTCACCCTGCAGTCCTGGGAAGGCCCAAGAAGATGTTTAGTGGATGTAGAAGAGGAAAAGGAAGAATAGGCAAGAGCCCTGACCGCTTTGGCTCAGTGGTTGGCTCTCAGACCAAAGAGTAGTGGGTTCGATTCCGGTCAAGGGCACGTACCTCGGTTGCGGTTCAGACCCCGGCCCTGGTCGGGAACGTGCGGGAAGCAACCAGTTGATGTGTCTCTCTCACATTGATCTTTCTCTTTCTCTCTCTCACACTCTATCTGAAGATAAATGGGAAAATATTCTCCGATGAGGATTTAAAAAAAAGAAGAATAGGCAAGAATGTGGGGCATTAGAAATTTGAAATGTCAGAGATAGGACAATGACATACAGTTTTGTGAATTGAAAAAAGAAATGTTCTTAATAAAAAACGATAGCAAACTACTGGCCAGAAGATGTGTAGTTGATGTACTCTTGATAATTATCAAAAGGTAAAAAGTAAAATTTATCTTTAATAGAAATCAAATAATTCCTTCCATTTGGAAAATGTTTTTTACAGTGTTCAATACATTTTTCCCCCTGCGGTACTCCATAAATCATAAAAAATGACTCGCACTTAAATGCTAATTAATATGGGCCTCACCTGATGGGCTTCTGCTGAAAACTGAGGCCACTGTATTAGTTTCCTCAGGCTGCCGTAACAAAATACCACAAACTGAGCAGCTCGAAGCAATAGGAAGTATTGTCTCATCTTCTGGAGGCTAGAAGTCTGAAATCAAGGTGGCCTCTGTAACCTGTCAGGGACAATCCCTCCTTACCTCCTCCAGCCTGGTAGTCACTGGCAGTCCTTGGTGTCCTTGGCTCACAGAAGGAAGCATCATGCAATCTCTGCCTCCTTGTCACACAGCCGCCGCCACCCCCCCCCCATCTGTCTCTCCACTCATAAGAACACCAGTCACAGTGGATTAAGAGCCCACCCTACTCCAGTAAGTCTTCGTCTTACGTTATTACATCCTCTGAGATCCCATTTCCAAACAAGATCGTATTCTGAGGTCTGGGGGAAAGGACTTCTACATACCTTTTGGAAACCACAATTCGACCAATAAACACCAACCCAATGAGATGACAGAAAGAAACTGTTTTTAGGTTAATTATTTAGATCGAGAGAATCTACATGCCTGAGTTACTAGAGGCAAAACAATGGCACATTACTCCCTGGTCCTGGTTCGGAACCTTTTTGAGTAAGGAAAGGGGGCACCTGGGAGGGGGAGGGGGATGCTGGTGTCCTGGGCTCTGGTCACGGCACTCCTGGTGGCTGTTCCTGTGGCAGTGTCACCCCTCTTCCACATGACATAAGTGCAGGAAGCGGTCAGGCTCTGCCCTGACGCCACTAATCTCTGCTCCATAGTCCTCAGAACTGAGAAAGCGGGAAAGGAGGCCAGAGGTCCCAGGCCGCATCTGCCTGTGAATCACCCAGCATTCTGCTCCCCCCTGCTCACTAACAGGGAATAAAGAGAAATTCTATTAAATCAATCTTAAGACCAAAGTTGTACAAGTCTATATGTTGTAAAGACCACAAAAATGAGTGGAAAGTAAAATAAGAAGTCCTAAGAGAGTATATAGAATTTTCCAAATTTTTATATATAGGACAAATTGTTCTTGTATTAAAAGTCTGATGGGTGAGGCACTGTTAGTATATTTTATCCAGCAGGCGGGGGGGGGGGGCAACAAATTATCATGACATGGAAAAGATGCAACAGGTACTGTGAGGTGTAGTATGTAACATTCTCTGCCCATGAAATACTGTCACTTGCCTGCAGGGTTTGCCAAGTGACAGAAACCTCTGTCTAGACTACTCTGGAGACTTCTATACAGCCAAGAGTCCTTTCTACTTCTAACAGACACAGACAGGCAAATGGTGATTGTCCCCAAATGAAAAATGACACCCATCTTTGAGTAGCCAGAGAGATCTTCAAATGCAAATCTGATTCCCTCCCTCCTCAGCTCAAAAACTTTAAAGCTTTTGCATTACCTTTAGGATTATCCCCAATGAGGACCTTAAAGCTCGAGTCTTAGTCTGGAGCTTCTCTCTGCAGCTCCTTTGCATTTCCTGCCTCCCCCCTTCTTCCTCCTCTCCCCTCCACCCCCTCTCCCGTCTTCTCTTCTCTTCCCTCCTTCTGTTCCTCCCCCAAATCAAGTTTCTCAGCTGGGCATTTCAACCTGAAAGTCCCACATAAATGTATAAAACCGAGTTTATCTCCCCAACCACCCAAAGCTGCTCTTCCTTCAGCATTTCTTATACCTGGACTAATCCTTACGGCATACCACAGTCCTCCCTCCAGAATGACCGCCATCTGTCTGTCAACGTCCTTGGGATACAGTTACTCAACTGGCTACAAAGTCTAGTCCTCCTTCTTGTCTGTAAGAATATCAAATCCTTCCCGAAACCAGGCCGCCGTTCTTCTGTTCTACAATAACCATCTCAAGAGGGAATGAAGGACCTGTGGGCCGACGAGACAAAATAGCTATGGAGAATGATGTGCACCAAATAAATAGCCTTTAAAATCTCAAACAACTTCTTTACAGTCATTCAACTATAATATATAAAGTTTACAAAGAACAAAGGCAAAAAGGAAAGAAAACCTGAATCTGAACCAGGGCAGAAACGTTTCTCTTAGCCAATTTCATCATCTTACTCAGGGGAATTAGGAGTACCGGTACTATACTACCTAATATTTTTAGCTTATTGTTTTTATATTTATACTTGGGATAACTGTTTAGTAACCCGGATCTGGTTCTTTTCATCATATGGACCACTCCCTGTAGAGTTGTTTTTTACCCAGCAGCTTTTTGAAAACTCAGCTGGCCTTCATCACAACACAAGAAATGGCTTTGAAACTCATTATTCTGTTTGCTATGAATATTGTTTATTGTAGCTTTATTGAGAAATTCCCTTTAAGACTTATGTTAGGAAAATAATTATTTCCCAGAAGAAATGAGAGTGTTTTTTTCTCTCATGGTTAATCAAAATTTTTTACCTGGCCTGGCCGGTGTGGCTCAGTGGCTTGAGGGATTGAGCATTGCCCCATGGACTGAGAGGTCCCAGTTAGATTCCCGGTCAGGGCATATGCCTAGGTTGCAGGCTCGATCCCCAGTAGTGGGCGTGCAGGAGGCAGCCAATCAATGTTTCTCTCCCACATCGATGTTTCTCTCTCTCTCTCTCTCCCTCCCTCCCTCCCTTCCTCTCTCTCTAAAAAATCAATAAAAACATTTTTAAAAATTTGTTTTTTCTGACCATAGTCCCCTTTCACTTCAGTTTCTATGAAGCTTAAAGACAAAGTAATTGTCTTGTTGTGGTATCTGTGCTGGCCCTCCTGATTTCCACCTGATACCACCACCCCAGTTATTAACCCTTTACTCTGTTTTCTATAGCCATACTTTGAAAAAAGGAATTTATTTTTTTACATATATATATATATATATATATATAAAATATCTGGTGAACTACCTCAGATCCTTGGTTGAAAAAGGTGAGGTGTGCATTAAATTTAAATTATGAATAAATTATTTAATATGGGTGCCATCATTCCCAATTAACCCCTCCTATTGCTTTTAATGATCTAAGGTCACCCACATGGTGCATGCATTATCAAGAGGAGGCACCTGAACTGTGCGAGTCCCCTGACCATCACTGACCACCCTCCTGCCCAGACTGGACACACCGAGCCAATCCCGCCCCACCTGGATGTGCCCATGGTCTCCTCCAAACAGCGGGCCTTTCTTCTCCGGAGCCCACGTTCCGAAGATGTCTCGTGCGATCATGAGGTGGGTCAGATGAATTTATTATTCAATAAACTCATATTATTTCCCTTCTCCAATTTCCAATTAAAGGTTTTCATTCTAGTCCTCTTTCCTCTCCTTCCTCCCCCTTCTTGCCATTTAATCATTTCATTCTTCATCTTCAAATAAAGGAAATGGGGAAAACTGTGTGCTGAGAGAAGAAAAA